ACAGAAACAGATAATTGGTCAGCACACTGACTGCCGCAGCGAAGATGCGTTTTTTGCATAGTCCCCGCGTTTTTGTCGCTACCGACACTGGTTTTTCCAGCAAATACTTCTAGTAAAAGAATTGAGACTGGCCGCCAGGTCTGTCAAGAAGCATCCATTTAAAATTTCAGCTTTCTAGCTTTCCTGATTCCCGAGTTAGTAATTTACCGGCAAAAAACTTTCAAAGGCTCGTACATAGGAACCACGCATACCCAGGGGTTAGCTTTGAACTCATTAGGACCTACTTGGGCGGGGAACACCCCCTTTAAATTCCAGTCTTCTAGCTTTTCAGGTTCCCGATTTAGCAACTTGCCCGAAAAAAAAATTTTGACGGGCCCGTATGTGAATACTACGCGGCTAAGATCGCCTATTTCCGAGACAGGGGCCCGTACATGCATGTAGATTAAGTTCCCAAAGTTCCAGCCTTTTAGCTTCTGTGGGTCTCGAGATGAAAAACTGGTAAAGACGCGCAGCGCACACACAAACAACCTCTCGTCACTATGCGTTTTCTGCATTTCATAGATGCAGAAAACGCGTAATAATACATGAGACGGACGAGGAAGTACCAGTGCCTTCATTTGTACTTCGGTAACAAATACAAGAATGTGGTGAGAAACCGGTACCATTTTTATGCGTTTTGTGATGTGTAAAAGCCATACAAAACGCATATTGTCACGGCATTGTCTGTGTCCCCGTGAAAATTTTTGACGGGTGAATTATTATCTCGGGAACAACGGAGTCTAGGAAGCTGAAATTTTAGGGTAATGACCCCCTGCCCACGTTCAACCTTGCCTAATTAAATTCAGCGTTCCCGCGCTCTCGGGTATCACCTACGGACTAGTGAAAGTTTTGCGGGTAAATTATTATCTCAGGAACCACAAAGTCTACGAAGCTGAAATTTTATGGTTGTGACCCTTTCCCACGAACGATCTTGCAAATACATAATCAGCATTTCCGCGCTTCCGGATATCATCTACGGCCTTGTGAAAATTTTGGCGGGTAAACTACTAACTCGGGAATCACGGAAAGGTATTCACCCTTCAGAGTTTCGAATTCAGCTTTCATGCG